AGAGGGCACTTCACATCACTATTGTGGGGAGAGTGAGGTGCAGTGTGATATAATTGGTATTTATCTCTGTGGTCTGCTTGCCACACTGGATTAAAACAAACCAAAAATTTCAAGGCTGATTAGCTAAAATGAGATGTGTAATTAGAGAGTAGAAAAGCTAAAGGAAATGAATGATGAACTTACCCAGTGTCACCTGGTCAAGTAGGTGATGGTGGACAAAGAGCGTGTGCCCAGGTGTGTCTGGATGTCTCCACTGCCCCTTGCTGCCCACCATAGTGGCCTAATGTTTTCAACTCATGATGCTGAGAGTAGTTTCATTCTCATCATGCAGGGGATGAGCTGATTCAGAGCATGGTCATTGTTCCCACTGCTGTCTTCCCACAGCTAGGAAGCGGCAGAGGTTAGGTGTAAGCTCAGAGCTTCATACCATTGTACTTTGGGGAGGGCTAAATGGTGGATGTTTTCGACCTGATGAGAATAGTAGGAAGGGGCAATTTGTGTGAGGAAATATTGGGCCAGGGTGAACCTTTTCAAGCTTATTGGTGTGAGTTAAGTCATTTCCCTAGAATGTTGGCCAAGCCTCAGGAACACAGCACGTGGGGATGTTGTTCATGTTCAATAAATGTCAGAGCATCCACAGATTTGTGGGTTTGTAAATCCAAATGAAGTGCTATTATTCAGGTTTCTTGGATGCTCAGGATTGCTAGCATTTATTTTTGAAGTTCTAATAAAATAGCTTATTCCTATTACCAATTAAATGCCTGGCTGAGAAAAGTAAGGTGATTTATATATCTTTTAATTAGTGAAATTGAGAGTGACTATGGCAATGATTAAAAATTCTTTTGTGGTGATAAGTTGTGGTGGAGGGTAGAAAGGGGAAGTGAAGGGTTTCTAAAATCCAGGATTTTTCCATGTGTGTTACATTTCCACAGGTTTGGGATGTTGCTGAGAGTACTTTTATGGCAATCAGTCTGTTTTTCCATAATTGTGATGACGTCTGAGTGAAGACTTGACTTGTAAAATTAATGATCTGATGAAGGCAGACTCTTTAATTAATAGAGCTGTACACAGGTGGATTAAAAAGACCAGCCTTCAAAAAGTGTTACTGATAGTATCAGTTTTCACTGGGGCGAATGGACCAAACTAGCATGATTTTGTGTTTTTTCTCCCAAGCAGTTTCTGTGGGAGAGACAGACAGACAGATACACGCACAGAATATGTAGCCTCTGGGAGTCATGTTCATCTCTTTACCATTATAAATACTTTGGCCATTGTGATTAGTCACCCAGCCAGACTGCTCCATATCCCCTTTTCTGTTTCATTTTTCTTGATATCTGATTCCACCTACATGCCTGCTCTCAGATCTCCATAGCTACATCAAAATATGTATGAGAGGTTTGTTTTTTCAGACAGGCAAATATGACCTTGCAGATGAGCTCCTTTCATTATTAAGTTTTACACAAAATGCTCTGAATACAAATTACAATAGCACCTACCCTGTAGGAGTGTTTGTGGGGACTAAAGATGATCATCCATCTGAAGTTCCGATCATAATGCATGACACGCACATAGGTACTCAGCCTGTTAGTGTCTGTCTCTTTCTTGCTTTCTGTGGTTCCCTGATTTGCTGTCTCCCTGTTGAGATGGTTCTCTTGAGTCCACTGATCATGATGGAGCCAGATCCGAATACCCTGTGCTCAGTTATTTTATACCTCTGTACCTCGTTCAGGTGCCGAACGCTTACTCTGTCCATCCTGGAAACAGTTCTTCTCTGGGTTTTGTGGCACTGTGTTATTTTGATTCCCCCCCTCCCCCACCCCCCTGGCCTTCCTCATTTCCTTTCTTTTGCTCTTTGGTCTCCCTTTCTCTCCTTGTTGTCCAGAGAGGATGATCTCCGAGTTTCTGTGCTCAGTTCACTTAGGTTTTGCCAGCCATCTCATTTTCTTCTGTGGATGAAATTCAGATGTCCACCCCTGGCTTGACTTCTAGGGCTCCACACATCAACTTCTAACTGCATGCCTCGTACCTCTGCCTTGATGTCTCATGGCAGCTTAGATCCAACACGTCTAAAATGAAAACCACCCTCCCCTCCATTCTTCATTCATCCTCCTTCCACCTCTTCCCCTCTTACTCCCCCTCCCCTTTTACCCCTCCCCCATCTCCTTCCTCCTCCTCCCCCTCTATCCCTGGGTCTTTGGATGGTGAAGCCCCTCTCTCAGTACCCCCTCCCTTTACCTTAACATGTTGCTGCTTTTTCTCTCTATCTCCCATTAACCAGTGGGTAGTAATTTCTCATGGATTCAACCTTGATGATTCTCCTTGCATCTGCCTTTTCTTTTCTCTCTCTGCTCCTTGCATCATAGCTGCTCCTACTGCCGGCACCTACATAGCCGCTTAACTGACTCTAACAATGACTTACCACCTCCTATGTGTCTCTGTTTGCACCCAGATTTACGCTCCCTCATTAATCCCAAAGCACAGGTTTGGCCATGTCATATCTACCCCCCAAATCTTTCCTTGGCTCCCTGTTTTCTATTAAATTATGAAGACATACCAAAACTGTATACATGTCCTTTGGTATACCCCGTCAGTGGACACAAGGATGCTGTTGTTCATATGGTCACAGATAATAGTCTATTTTGATGTCAACGTAGTGGCCCACTGGTAAGTGAAGTGTTATCAGTTTCCCTTTAATAAATGCTATGGACTGAATTGTGTCCCCAGCCAAAATTTGTATGTTGAAGCCCTAACTCCCAATATAACTGTATTTGGAGATAGGGCCTATCTGAAGGTAATTAAGTACAGTTAAATGGGGTGATGTGGGTGAGACCCTGATATGATAGGATTAGTGTCCTTATATAAAGAGACAACTGAGAGCGCCTTCTCTCTCTGTCCCTGCACACATGCACAAAGAAGAGGTCGTGTGAGTACACAGCTGGAAGGCAAGCCAGGAAGAGAGCCTGCAACAGGACCTGACCCTGCTAGCACCCTCATCTTGTCTTCCAGCTTCCAGAACTGTGAGAAAGTAAAGTTCTTTTTCTTATGGAAGCTCAAGCTGACTAACACAAATAACAGACACTTACTTTCGGTCTTTTGTGTGCCTGGCACAGCACATCTCGGGAAGTGTGGCCCCCTGCCGTTATACAGTTTAGGTAAGTCCCCTTGTCCTTGCCCTGTTACTCTGCAGCTTTCTGTCAAAACGTAAGAGCAAGACACTGTGTTGTCATTGAGTTTAAAAAGATAATGAAGAGCTTATATCTTAGGAGGAAAGAAAGAGAAATGACTCAGTGGGAGTTGAATCTGCCCACATGCTGAAGGCACGTGTGTAGCTGAAATGATGTTCTAGGCAAGCAATGTAAGGAATAGATTATAATATTAATTACCCTTCCGCTCAACACAGTTCAGTTTTTCTCTTTAAAAAATTTTTTGATTATAAAAGTAAGAAGTGAAAAATACCTGTACCTCATAGAACATTTAAAAGTATAGTACGGAAAATTTGTAAAGCAATAGGATGAAAGACACTCATAATCTTACAGATAACTTTTATTCCTTTTTTGTTTTTTGTTTTTTGAGACAGAGTTTTGCTCTTGTTGCACAAGCTGGAGTGCAATGACGCGATCTCAGCTCACTGCAGCCTCTGCCTCGGCCTCCTGGGTTTAAGCGGTTCTCCTGCCTCAGCCTCCTGAGTAGCTGGGATTACAGGCACCTGCCACCACCCCCGGCTAATTTTTTGTATTTTTAGTAGAGATGGGGTTTCACCATGTTGGTCAGGCTGGTCTCAAACTCCTGGCCTCAGGTGATCTGCCTGCCACAGCCTCCCAATGTGCTGGAATTACAGGCATGAGCCACTGCCCAGCCCTTTTATTCCTTTTTAAAAAAGTCTTTTTTAAAAAACATGTCTTTTCATGAATTTTTAAATATTTGTATACTGTTTTCTGTTTTATGGATATAAGATAATTTTCTTACCTCTTTAAACATTTAGGGTATTTTCTTTTTAAGTTTTTTAAAAACTATTTTTAAGAATATGATGGACATTTTTGTACATACATTTTTTTTCCCCAAAAATAATTTCCTTCAAACAGACTCCTTGAAGCAGAATTACTTGGTCAAAGGGCATAAGCATTTTTGTGGATATCCTACTTACCATTGATGTTTGAGTTCTTTCTGTGTGAGCAAGGGTCATGTTTGGCTTTGGTATCGTGGGTGGAGGTCTGGGGACAGTGAGATGAAAATGAGATGTGACCACTACCCCTATAGAGTGCGTGTAATTTACCAAGGAGACATACCCATAGGTATGGAAGCTTTGAGAACCTTTTACTTTGTAATTTACATCGTCTTCCTGAAACAACACGAAACAAGCTAGCACTTGGAAATATCTTGACCTTGGCTTTGGTAAGTTTTCTGGGATTTTGGGGCCATCTTTAGACTCATAAGTGGGACAGTCATGCTTTCAGTAAGAAAGAAACATACTCATATTTAATAAGCCATGTTCAGTTTTAAAAACTAGATTTGTGAATGTTATATTGGTGTACTTCTCTGAGGAAATTTTGATTAGTGGTCAAAAAATTATGAGCATGATAATTTACTTCCTTTAGCCACATACTGCTATTTCTCAAAGAGATTTTGCCAAAAGAGGATTGCTTTAAACTATCTAAATGTAAGCTTAGCATGTATCCAGAAAAGTCCACAGCTCAGAAGTCCACAGCTTGATGAATTATCACACAGTGAACACGCTTATGTAATCACAACACAGGCCAAGCCATAAAAATTATTAGCATCCCAGAAGGCTCCCTTCTCATCTCTAGCCCTTCCCTCCTCTCTTAAGGCAACCATTCTTCCTCAGTTCCAGCAACCTGGGTTTTGCCTCCTGTTGAGTTTAAGAAAAATTTTTAATCATTTTGGAAACTTACTTTAAAAATTAAATTCAAAGGGTCTAGCTAATCTACCTGCGTATCCCTTATCTATTATGGTATAACAAATCAATCATCCCAAGCCTTTGAGACCAAAGGTGACAATAGTGTTTATTTCTTGTGACTCGTGGATTGACTGGGTGGTGCTGTTGTCCTCTCCTGGGCTTACTTGTGCAGCTATATTCAGGGCTGGGATCACAGGGCCCCTTCCCATGTGGTCTTTCATCCTGGGCTTCTACATACTGTGACCACTTCAGGGCAGCTTTCCAAAAGGACAGAGCTGGAGGCTTCTGTCCTCTTGAGGCCTAGGCTTTGGAATTTGCATAGCCTCACTTCTGCCATATCCTGTTGGCCGAAACAAGTAGCAAGAGATCCAGTTGTATCCCAGACTCGAGAGAGTGGAGAAATTGCCTCCAACTCTGAATTGGGGGGAATGACAAAGTCACATTGCAAAGGAACATGCCATTAGCAATCTACCATATCATCCGAAAAGTGCTATGATCCTGTGTAGACCAAGTTTATTGTTAGTACAGAACGCTAATATTGAGGCTCTGCTCCACTTGGTTCACGTGTGAACAGTCAGTTGACAGAGCCAGGATGCGTGGGGCTGGTAGGGGATGTGTTGTCTCTGTCTAATAGAATAGGGATCAAAAATAGAAGAGCTTTTGAGGATTGCTTTTATTTATTTATTTATTTTTTGTAGATCAAGTTTGAACTTTACTAAATCATTTTCTTTTTCTTGATGTTTCGTTCATTGCTTCAAATAGCCCCTGCTTATCTCAGGAAGCGATTTGAAGTCAATGCTTTAACAACATGAAAACTTTTCTGGAGTTAAAATGACTATTCTTTAAAGCACATTGTACTTTAACCCATCAGAGGTAGAATTTATGGTACAGAAAAGTCTTCTTTTTCTTCTGACTCTAGATGCCCAGTGTAAGACAGTATTCAGATGGCCCCATTCATTTGACTCCTGGGTCTTGCAATCTTTATCAAAGTGAAATAGTCAAGGTAATACCAAGAAGAGTCTCTGACTCATCAAAAACCTCCAACTGACATGTTACTCAGATAGATGCTTATAGGGTGCTTAAGTCTCATGTTTTCTTTGACTTGTCTTTTTACCCAGGTGTCTTTTCAGAATGGGGGGAAATGGTGTTTTGGATTTCATTTGGTGATTTGGTAATGATAGTAGGAAGGTTGGGTCATTTTTATTGAGCATTTTCTATGTTCAGGGAGTTCACTGAGCTTAGTGCTTTTCATACATTGTCTTACAGAGTTTGCGGGGGACAAATTAGGTAATCCATGGTTAGCACATGATACATAATAAAAGCTCAATAATGGTTAGCCACCAACACCAAGAGATGGATAATAATAATTTTCATTTAATTGAACACTTACTATGATCTAAATTAGATTCTATTTGTGTTATTAACTTGTGTGATCAAATCATCACAAAACCCTCTAAGATTAGTTTTAGTATTATACACATTTTTATATTAGGAAATCCAGGTACAGAGAGTTGAAGTAATTCACAGAGTTAGTAAATGGCAGAGCCAGGATTTAAACCCAGGCCAGGGCATCTGAATCCAGGTCATTGGTACCTTTTCTTGGTTCTTGGGAATGGAATCTTCATGTACATTGACTTGGTGTCTGGATTGTTGGAGAGCAAAAGTAAGATATCAGCCCACTTCCCTCCTCTAGTGTTTAATTCCAGGTCCAGGCATCCTGGGCAGGGGCTGTGAACTGGTGATGCCAGGTTGCTGCTTCACTCACTTAATGATCTCCCTGGGGTTTCGGCTTCTCACTTATGTGGTTCATTCTTCCCCTGTGAAGAGAGGAGCTGGCTTCCTTAAATCCTGACAGCTTTTTTCCCCTGTGATGAACCAGTCATATAAAACATTTACAACTTTTCCTTTTTCTCAATGCTAGAATTCAAGATACTCTGTAAGGCAGGAGCTCAAAGCCCTTTACCTGGGCTAATTAGACCACCTATGCTAATTAGACCACCTCTTCTCATTTCTGTGTGTGAGGCTTCAAGTAAGAGTCTCCCAGTCTCCCCTGCAGTCAGTCTGAAGTAATTGCCATAGTTTTCCTTGGCATCGCTGGGTATTTTGAGGCACCTCGAAGGGCTTTGTCTCTGGGTTACTTAGAAGAGTAAGGATTGAAGTAGAATTGCAGGGAACCCCAGTTTTAGTCTCACCATGGAGTAGTTTGAAGGATTTTGAAACTCGGCAAATATAAATGAGACTTTGTGGTTCATTTTTTGATTGCCACCCTTCCCAATTTAGAAAACCTTTTGATCAGATACCATATTAGGCATTTTACAGATATTATTTCATGTATTCTTTAATTCTGCGATTTGTATTACTGTACCTACTTTCCAGACATGGAAGCTGAAGGACAATTATGTAACTTGCCTCAGGTCAGGTAGGTGGGAAGTAGCCCAGGTGGTACTGAGATCAGAGCTCAGGTTTTTCCGATTTCAAATCCTGTTTTTTCCTGGGTGACTTAACCCACTGATGTGTCCTTCAGGCGCCCTTTAAATCCCTCACAGGACACATTTGGAAACCAGAACAGTTTTTGTCTAAAATTCATTACCTGGAACTTCTGTAGTCAGTAGTCGTTCTCCTCCTCATCCTCTTTCCATTTTTTCCTCTGAGTTCCTGGGATTAAGTAATGAAGCTTGGAGGCAAGAAGGCCTGGGATTAGGTTTCTTTTAAGATACTTGGCAAGAGAAAACAGAAGGGTAGACGTCATGAAAAAGTTTCCCATTGTATCTCAGCTCAGTGGAGGATACTCTGTCGAAAGGTTCAGTTCTTCCCATGAGAGGAATTAAGGAAGGGAAGAAAGACCTTGGCAAAATTCTGGTTTGTTTTTTTTTTTTCCCACCCTCTCCCTCTGACCAGCCTCAGTACTTTGTCTTCACTTCTGCTTTCCTCTTCTACCACCTACACTATGTTCCTCATAGTGAATACCTCATTCTAACCTGCTATCTTGTTGCTCTCAGATCTCACTTGAGCTTCACTTGGAGATATGAAGAAGGCCTGCTTGTTAGGCTTGCAGTGGCCAGCTGTGCCTGCTTCTCCTGCCTTGTGGCCTCTACTTGCTCTTTGATACTTTGTGCAGCTGTGGAGCTTATGAGTGAGCTAGTCCTATCTTTTCTCTGCAATAGAGGATAATTTTGACTGTGAAATCAGTTTTCAGTATTTTGTAAGATCCATAATTCTTCTCATTCCTTTTTGGGCATCGTGGTTTATGAGATTCTGGATCGGCAGCCTTGGTAGAATATTTATATATTTATACCCCAACTTATTCTCTTTTCCTAGGACTAACTCAAGCAATTCAAAACAGTTTTGCCCCTCACGTTGTTTCAGATGGAAGCAGAATTAAAGAATAGTTATTTATGTATATAATTTCACAATAATCAGATCTTTCATTTTTCCCCACAGGGATATTGGCAGATAGCAATCAGAGTGTTTGCAGGTATGACATGTTGAGGGGAGGCCGGGCACAGTGGCTCATGCATGTAATCGCAGCACTTTGAGAAGCTGAGGTGAGTGGATCACCTGAGGTCAGGAGTTCGAGAGCAACCTGGACAACATGGCGAAACCCCATCTACTAAAAATACAAAAATTAGCCAGGTGTGGTGGTGGGCACTTGTAATCCCAGCTACTTGGGAGGCTGAGGCAGAGCATTGGATTGCTTGAACCTGGGAGGTGGAGGTTGCAGTGAGCCGAGATTGTGCCACTGCACTCCAGCCTGGGCAACAGAGTGAGATTTTGTCTCAAAAAAAAAAAAAAAAAATGTTAAGGCTAAAATATTGATTGATTCTGTAATAATGTTTGTATGGTACCTTAACAAGGAACTGGGTTTTGCATTTTTCTTCCTTGTTATAGCCAAGCCTTTATTGTTCTTACCTTTAGATTGAACAAAGAAATACAAAGGAAGTGAATTTTATAATAAGATGGCCAAAGGCATAATGATATACTAACACAGGTGTGAGGTCAGGTAAACCTAGGATAGAATCTAGGTTTAGCTACACTTATTGGCTGTGTCACCTCAGAAAGGTTGTTGAACTTCTCTGAGTTTTGCTTTTATCATCTTGAACAATAATGTCTATATTTTGAGATAGTTGTGACCGTTAAAATAATTAAATGAATTCATAAGCAAATGTCTTGCATATAGTGGGGCCTAGAACATTATAGTTCTTACTCTGTTTGCTACAAATGCAAAGAACAAGCTGGTCTGAGGGACTTGTATCTGGTAGTCATGCTGTGGGATCAACTTTGGAAAAAGAGATAGCTTTGGAGTTATCTAGTCTGAAATTTTCATTATACAGACAAGGAAACAGACTCAGAGAAGGTAAATGACCATGTCAAAGCTGTAGAACTAGATAGGGACAAAGCTGAGACAAGAACTCAGTACCACTGACTCTTAGCTTATGGTCTTTTTATGGCATCATGACTGATTTGGTCTAGATGTGTATCAGCATCTCTAGGGCAGGATTTCCTAAAATCACCTGGGAAGGAGTAGTGCTGATGTGGTTAAAAAGGTGTGTTCCTGGACTCCATCCTAGATTAATGACTCAAATCTCGGGAGTCTAACCAGGGATCTGCATTTTAACAAACATCTTAGACGATTCTTATGTATCTTGTAAGTTTACATTTATTTTGTAATGTAATACAAAATACATTACAAAGTGAGTTTGAGATGAGTTATTTGAGTTCACTGAGTTTGAGTCTCTCTGCTCTGCTGCTGTAATTAGGAGTTGATTTTCACAGTTTTCTGGGCACCTTCAGGCACTTAAAAAGTGCCTGGCACATAGCAAGCACCTTATAAGTGTTAGCTATAATAGCCCCATTTAAGTGTTATAATAATCCTTTGAAGGTTTTTGATCTCTTTTACAGGTATAGAAAACTAATGTACAGCTCAGTCATGTAACTTGCCCAAGGTCATCCAGCTAACAATTGACAGAGCTGATGCTGGAACTCCTGTGTGTCTGATGCTGAAACCCATGTGGGATAGTAGATTTTTTTCAATAAATATTGGAAGTTAAAGGATTTTTCTCACTAAAAGAATACCCCTCTGGGTTTGGTTGATATAGTCTCTTGAGACAGATCTAAGAGAGACCTCATATAGATAAAATAATTCCTATTCTGGTTTATTCAAAACCAAAAAGTTCTGGAATGAGGCTTTCCTGAGAGTTAAGCAAGCTGGCAAAAATAATTTGTTAAAATGGGAAAGTTTTTATTTTCAGTCTCTGTGCAAATGAAATGGACGGTTGGATGGTTAAGGGAGAAAGTGGCAGCTGGCCGAAGAGCTTGACTCAGTTTCTTCAAGTCCAAAGAGTTCAGAGACTAGAGACCTTGGGGAAGTTTTATGTGCTGTCAAATTTTGTGGAGTGTGTGTGTGTGTGTGTGTG